GGGGTAGAGTTAGGCTAAGATAAATAGTCAGGATAGGGTTAAATATTCTGCACCTACTCCACATGGAGTTCTATTTTTCTACCTTTCTGCTTAATATTTGAAAATAAAGAGAAAGGTTGAGCAGAACTTGCCCAGTGTCAAGGCCTTTTCTGCTTCTCATACTGCCAGGCTGGGGCTGGGGCTGCCTGGCAAGTTCTCTCTCTTTTTTCTCTCTTTTTCTCCCTGGCGCCCCTTGAATTCATCTCTTCCCTTGCACGCTACCCCTTTTGCCAAAGCCCACTGCTGTGTTCTTATACAGTAGCTCAGGCACTAACATCCCACCGTCCATGCCAAGCATGGAATTTACTTCTAAACTAGTTGGAGGTTTTGTGGACCTTGGGACTTTGGGCATTCCTTTGGAGCAGCAGCAATTACAGATCTTGGGGGGGCTCCCTTCTCCTTAAGGGTGCACTGTCTGAGCAAGCTGGTTGAGTGGAAGGTGTCCCTGCCAGTGGCAGGGGGTTGCAACTCCATGGTCTTTGGGGTGCCTTCCAACACCAAGCAGCCTGCCATTCTGTGAAGGAGGGCTTTTGCCCCCTGCTCCAGCAGGAGGCTTCCCTTCACCCCTTCCCTTTCATCTCCTTCCTTCAGCCTGGTGGGGGGAGGAGGCAGGACACCCTTGATCTTTTGTTTCCTCGTTTTTGAGCCTGCGTGGCTCCAGCAGTGCACCTCCTCCTCTCTGATACTTTTGAACTTTTCTAGCTCCTCTCTCAGCTCCACCAGCAGGCAGAGCACATCATCCACCTGGTCACACCTCCCCAGCTGCTGCCTCTCCTGCTGGCCAAGACCAGCTGGGTGACTGCAGGTTTGTATGGCAGCTCCACTGCGTTGCCAGAGCCTTTGTGACGTGTGCAGGGATATGCCTGTCAGCCCAGGGGATGCCATGGCTGAGCTCCATGCGAGAGGGTGACAAGCCCCGAGGGCACCCCTGGAGCTGCCACCCTCCCTGCTGAGGAGGCAGAGCCGCCGCTGAGGCGGAGCTGCGGTGCTTCCCGCTCGGGGATGGGGGGCCAGGACACCACCTGGAACCTCACAGAATGTGCCGAGTTGGAAGGGACCCACAAGTCCTTGAGTCCAAGACTTAGCCCTGCACAGGACCATCCCCAAGAGTCACAGCACGTGCCTGAGGGTATCGTGCCAATCCTTCTTGCGCTCATGCAGCCTTGGTGCTGTTACCATGTCCTCGAGTAGCCTCTTGCAGTCATCATCTTGGCTAGGCTTTGTGAATGAAGATTTGAGAAGGGCTCTACCCACGCTTGCTACAAGCGCGCTGATGGCTAAAAAGGCCAATGCGAGATAGACAAGTCCGGTTGCAGAAGGCACAGCAGAAAGACTCCCCAGGTGATATTGACAGGACACGATTCTTTCTGCGTTGTCTTTTCTCCTCGAGAGTGATCCTGTGTGTGTTCTCAAAAGCAGCAGCAGCATTATAGATGGTGTGTCTCCAGGCCTCCTGATTGGAGGCCAGAGTAGACCAATGATGGTGATCAATATGGCCAAGGCTGAGGGATTGTTTCAGGCAGTCCTTGTGTCTCCTCTTCAGGGCTCCTCTCTCACTGCAGCCAGGGGCAAGTTCACCACAGGATCTTAGGGAGGCGGCAGTCCTGCATCCTGGAGACATGCCCTGCCCAGCACAGCTGTGTTCTCAGCAGCATGGCCTCAATGCTCGTGACTGCTGCCTGTTCAAGGACAGACGTGTTGGTCACATAGTCAGTCCAGTGGATGTTTAGGATTGTACGGAGGCAGCGCTGATGGAAGCGTTCTAAGAGACGCAAGTGGTGCCGGTAAATGACCCATTCAGATCCATATAAGTATCAGCTCATTTGGATCCTCTTCTGGAAACCACCCTCACAAAACCTTCTATTGATGCACAGATAGCACATAACAGTGATAAAGGGAAGCTGATGTCCAGTTAAAAATCTCAGACTTGTAATAAATTAGTAGTAGTAGTTTAAATTTACTCATCAAATTAGTAGTAGTAGTTTACTCATTAAATTGTATTGTGTGTTATATTCTTATATATATAAGAATATATATATATAGTTAAGGTTAAGGTCTGTTAAGGTTAGGAGACTGTAAGTTGCAGAATAGTTCATTAATCTGTCAGCATTGTAAGCTGATAGTCATGCAGCATGCAGTTCTAAAGCTGGAAAGAAATTATTGTGCCTTGCTGAAATAAGTATTTTGTATCTTATTTTTCCAAAAAACTTATTGTCTCATAGCACATGCATAAAGTAATGAAGGGAAGGACAAGGATCGAAGGGCCAAGAACAAGAACACAGGGGAGACGCGGGTTACTGTGCCCTGCACAAGGCCCGTGCCAGAGGCTGGCTGAGCATCGTGCGGCATCTCCTCGAGTACGGCGCCGATGTCAACTGCATTGGTCAGGATGGAACCAGACCAATCCACGACGCCGTCGAAAACGACCACTTGGAAATCGTCCGCCTGTTACTGTCTTATGGTGCTGATCCAACGCTTGCAACCTGCTCCAGGAGGACCATCATGAAAATGACCCACAGTGAGCTCATGGAGACCTTCCTCACAGAGTATTTAACTGACCTGCAAGGTCTCCAAAGGCTTGCCCGTATTCCCGGTGTCTCCACACATGAAGAGCCTTTCATCCACCAATGCAAACAGCAAAAGGCAGGCTCAGCCAAGCTGTACTCCAGCCTCGAGGTTGGCTGCCAAACAGCATAAAATGAAAGAAAGCCGGAAGACAGATGGACTGTATGCAGACGAAGAGGAGGATTTCCAACATGCATCTCTGCTGCAGAAATACAGCGAGTGTGAGAAGCCATCAGGGAAACGTCAGTGTAAAACAAAACACTTGGCGCTTCAGGAGAGGAGAAGGAGGTCATCTCTGACAGGGGATGACACCACAGATATCGAAAATGCTGAAGATAAGATAACGGTAACGAGGAAAGTCAGGAAGCGACCGGAGCCTACTTCAGATTGTGACTCCTCACCGGCCAAGCCGTACGAGCAGAAGCCGTACAATCGCCTGCAGCAGACTCCCTCATTACTACCCGTCTCACAGCCCTCGCAACTGCCGATCGCCAGCTCCCCTCAGGAGACCACCCCGAGCCGGCCGATGCCACCCGAAGCACGGAGGCTCATTGTCAACAAGAACGCAGGGGAACTGATAAGGGAATAAAAGATACTGTTTTTGCTTACTGCGCTTGCGCGCCATGAGGGGAGCAGGGGCCTCCCCGGCCGCCCAGCGCGCTGTTTTGCTTATTTGCATTTTACATAAATCTTCAATAAATTTTATTACTATATTTCAGCCTGATTTCATTTACTTATAACAGACTTATCGGAGCTGGGGACTGAGAGATGCAGTTGGACCCAATGAATCCTGATTTTTTGCAGCCTGGGGTCCTATCTGTGCAGGTACTACTGAATATGTAACAGTTCTCCTCTAGATGGCTGGGGCTTTTGGTTTTGCTTTGGTTTGGGTTTTTTTCATGAATTTCTTAGCAGCTCTGGGTAGAGTTCTGTATCTGAAACTCATCCCTTGCATTGGGGGAGAGGAGGTGGCCAAGGTGACCTTCACCAAGATGTTTGCAGAGGAATCCATACCAGATCTCTTCCAGGCTGGAGTCATAATGACTGGGAGGGGGTCAAGAAAGGTGTGGGATCTCCTTGAAGTCAATCGTGCCGTGGGGGCTTCTCTAAGATGTGTGTCTCTAAGGTCACCTCTTTGTTTTAGAACACTACGAAGGCTATGCAGACTTGGGAAAAGATATCGAGCAGTTTGGTTGTTCTTAATGAGTTTCTGAGGTTCAGCAGAGACTTTCTGTTCAGCAACATCAGACTCCCAGGCAAGGGCTTCTTGGGTTCCTGGGACCAGCACCACTGGGAATGGAGAGCTCGGGGGGCAGTCCCCAGTGCAGGGACGTTTCTGCAGGGGGGCCTGGGGTGCACTGAAGGCCTTGGGAGGGGTCCTGAGCTGGAGGCAATGTGCAGAAGGGAGAAGGGCCTGTGGTTGCAAGAGGGTGTTCTCCACGCTGGTCCCAGACCAGAGCGAGCCAAAAACCAGGCAAAGGGGAATCTCCATTGCTAGGAGCTCCCAGATCCGGAAAGGGCAAACTCAGTGGAGGCAGTTTCGTTCTCTGGGTCCTCTTTTCTGCACGAGCTCTTCTCCTGGGGGAAGACAAGAGCGGAGGTGCCAAAAGCGATGATTTCTTGAGCGAATCTCAGACATTTGCTGTTGTTGGGGG